CATGGGGTTGTAAATCAAGTGCTTGCATTGTGGGGTCATATTGGCTGCACCAGAAATTATGGCTATTACCTTGCCACGTGTTTTCTCACTGTTGGCTGGTTGATTAATGCTCATAATTTAGCAGTAAAGATTAAATCTGTCCATCAGATGCCAGCAATTGACAAAAAAACATCAGTTGATGAAGGTCTACAGAGAGTTTAATGACCATTTCATCTACTACAGTATGTCTGGTGTCTCGCAGCTATAGAACAGGGATGTCCAGCCTGCGGCCCAAGGTAGCTATGAATGTGGCCCTATACAAAATCGTAAAGTTACTTAAAAATTTTATTTTTTTTTTTTGGGGGGGGGGGGGGGGATTTTTGCCAAAAGTGTTTACACTTAGCAAGTTTGACAGTGTCTCTTTACTGGGCTTTTATAAGTTTTATCTTCTCAAAGAAAAATGTCCTGCTCTTCACAATCACACCTTATTCATGTCATCAGTTTTCAGCAGCACCTATATTTGTGAGCAACTGTTTTCAAGGACGAAGCACACGAAAGAGCAAAATTAGAACCAGAATATCTGGTGAGCACCTTGAGAATTCATTAAGAATTGCTACTACATCTATCAAACCAAATAATGTTGGGTTAGTTCAGTCTTTCTCTTGTTCAAATATATTATTGGAAGGCTTCAAGCCAAAGTTACAATTCCAATGCAATAACACAGAAAAAATGCAACAAGAGTAACATAACATTGGGACAGAGTATGAGATCAACAAGCAGAGACCTGTTATGGTCGTTTGTATCACATACAGGTAGTTCAGCCTTTCTCAACCTTTTCAGTTTAGAGGAACCCTTGACGTAACTTTCCGGTCTCAGGCAACCCCTGCTAAAAATGGCTTTGTCTACATTTCATGATCCATTAGTGTGATAGTCAGAGGTAAGAATGTTCCTTACGTTTGTGGTCATTGGGAAGAATTACCCCCTTACCGATAGCTAAAATGATTAATGGTGTCAATGGGAACTTACCTGAGAGGCAAAAATTGGTCATTGCTCAAGGAACCCCTGGCAACCTCTGGAGGAATCCTGGTTGAGAAAACCTGGGTTAGCTTTTTCAAAAACAGTGTCAAATATCGCCATAGTTTTATGTTTCCCTTTTTTACTTTTAAAAATAAAAAATATTACAAAAAAATGAAATCGAATTACTCAGATACAGTATCCTTATTGTTACTGTATGTTATGTGTGACCCAAGACATTTCCTCTTTTTCCAATGTGGCCCAAGAAGGTCAAAAGGTTGGACACCCCTGCTATAGAGTAAAAGAATTCTACATCACTCTGAAAGGTCTCCCACTTTGTTCTGTTGGGATGGTATGATCTCTCAAGTCTAGGGTTATAGTTGGGTAAATGCCATTCTGGTCTTAATAATTCTGTTACTGATATCTTCATCAATACCGCCATCTTTACTTATGCCCCGTACACATGGACCGAATATTGGGCGAAATCAGCTGGTACAGTAGATACCGGCCAACATTCAGAACATGTGTCGAGGTAATTGTTTGACAGAAGTCAATCTCACAACCAGCCTCTGTCGAATGAGCTTGCTGGAAATCCAGCAGCCGATTGGCATCCGAGTGTTGACCGGTGTGTTCTGGCCGTGGGGCCAGAACACAATAGCTCAGCTGGGAGATCGCTGTACTAAAATCGGATAGCTAGTACAGCGACCTCTTCCAGAGCTTCTCAGTTTTTTTTTTGTGTTCAGCCTGCTGGGTTGAATGAAAAAAAAAACTTTCTCTGCGTACCAGGCTTTACGGAGCCTCCCAAATATCTGCTTACGTTTTGATCCTGACTTTAGCTCTGACCCTGTGACCAGATACCTACATTTTTGGTCATGCAACCATTTTTGAGGTGAACAAAAGGCAGCATTTCAGCTTTTCTGTTACTATTTGTGTATCCATCCATCATAGCATGTTAATATTTGAGTAAGGGTCCACTTTTTTCTTTTTTTATTTACAGACACTGATACATATGACCAGACTACCTTGTTACTACCAACAGCTGAATTGACATGGACCCGGAAATATAAGAAAACAGTCCAATCTATTTTAGCCGTAGGTTTCACATAGGCTCTGGTCCGCTTATTTCGAGCCTGTGGTTCAATCACTATGCAGCTTGCGGTCTGGGAAGGCTAAACAGTAGAACCTCTGTGTATGATTCAGCATGGTGAGGCCACAGTGGGCTGTGTGCTGGTTGCATGATGTTCTTCTTGATGTGTGGGAGAATTTGGCAGGTTCTCTGGGTGGTTAATCACAGTAGTGTGTACCCGCACTGTAAATTACTATTTAAATCAGAAGGCTGAGGCCTGTTCTACATTACCCTGAGCAATTCGGTACATGCCTGCGAGCGCTGTTCACATTCAAACCACTCATAGAATTAAACAGGCTCAGCGGAGTCCTTTGTGACATCTGAGTATAATCTGGACCGCACAGTTGCTCAGTGATGAGTATGTATGTATGTGGGATTTTTTTAAAATAGAACTTAAAGTGAACCTCTGCTTCGCTCAAACACATCCATTGAGATAATGTGCATTTAAAGCAGAACTAAACTCAAACTGGATGATCTTTAGCTCACTAAAGCACCGTGTATCGTAAACAGTTGCCATTTTTTTCCATGGTCACCCTTTTCCCAATTCCCAACATTTTTGCATTTCTATGCTGCTGTTCTCTTGCAGCCTTTTACAGCCACTTCCTGACTATATGTGCTCCAAGGATAGCTGTATGGCGTTTCTCAGGATAGGTTTCCTGATATTGACAACCGTGGACCATGTCTGTGTAATATGTCTCAGCACAGCCACTTGTATTCTACATTAAAGAATATGTAAATCTAACATTTCATTTGTAGCAGAGGTGCCTGCTCTCTTTTTTCAGAGACTTTTATAATAGTAAGGGTGTGCATTTATGTGCATTTATGTGCAAGTGAAGGCAGCGCTATACCCAAAATAATACCATATAAATTAAACAAAAATAAACTCATGTAAATGTCACAAATAATACAGTAAAATTGTGTCTCAAAACACCCAATAAATAAACCGTTCCATTGTTTCAATGTAAACCCCATTGTGTTAGTAATATACACCACTCTTGTATAGTTCTCTAAAGTAAATGCTTCAACCTTTCCCATCCACTGTGCCCAGAAAAGCTTACCAAAGTACCATGACCCTCTGTATATGAGTGGTCATTATATAAGCATGTATGTATCTCAAACTTCTCCACTCCCCAGCATTGCTAAGGGTAGCCTCGAGATTCCACTCCCAGGTAAATATAGCAGGTGTATATATTTAAAAAACAGAATGCAGAAATATAGCGAGATCCTTTAAAAAACACATTTATGAACCAAAAATTGCACTCACATGGTTGCTAGTGTCTCAGCCCTTTAGGAAAAAAGGTCCCCAGAGGACGAAACACGTAGGGTCATGGCCTACATGGTGACGTCATAACATATGCTGATCACTCTGTGTCTATGCTGGATGCCAGCTCGAACTTTTTTCTGAAAGTGGTGAAATTCTATCAACCATGTGAGCGCAATTTTTGGTAAATATGTGATAACATGAATAATGCCCCATACAGAGTGACAAACTGTAAGGGCATATAATAGGCTCCTATGGGCCACGTCCCATAATATTTATTAGAATGAACCAAAAAAAATAAATAAAGGCCAATTGCGGACTTTAGAGGCAGTGCTACAAAAATATCTTTTAAAAATCACTTTATTGTGGAAATTTAGACCATTACATAGCAATCACATACATATTACTCCTCTAAGAATGCAAGATCCCCAAAGGGGGGGTAGAGTATTCTATGCTGTTTGCAAAACTCGTCAAAAATGATTAAAATTGACACAAATGTACCGTATCCAGGTAAAGGTATCAAAAGACATAAATCAAATGTCAATATGAGTAATCACTTGATAGTTACTCTGTAGTTACTCGACATGTTTCGCGACATTATCGCTTCTTCAGGAGTTACTACATAGAGAAAAGGATTGAATATAATATAGCATGATGTCACATAGTATAAAATTGTTTGTTAATTATATAAGTTCAAAAATACTTTGAGGTATCAGCTACAGAGCAGAAAGTGTGTCGGGATAATTGATGGTAACGCATGGAGCAACCACGTGTCAGGGAAGTCAGCAGGGGGATCCCAGAGGGATGAAACACCACTTGGTAGTCTACTTTTGGTAAATATGGTTAATGGTAAAGTTGTTGGCGGACAGGTCATCTTTAATACCCCAGTCAAGAGCCTTGTCAACTCTTATAATATACAGTGTATAATGGCAGTGCATAAACACTGGACTAATAACCCATTTGGATTCACAAATTCCATTTGTGGGAATTACATAATAGCCAGATGTTTGTGGCTTCTCATTTAGCCCCTGTTCACACTGATGCGACTTGTCGTGCGATTTGACAGTTCAAATCCCATGACAAGTCACACCCTGTGATCGGCAATGGAACCATTCTAATTGGCAATGTCAGAGTCGCACCGATTTGAAAAGTAGTTCTTGCACTACTTTTGACGATTTCTGGGGCGACTTGCATTGACATCTGTGCATGAAGTCGCACCTGAAGTCGCACTAACATGCCACTTCAAGTGAAATTGCATGATTTCAAAGTTGTATTCAGTGTGAACCCAGGCTTGGGGTCAATGAACAATGGTAAATCTAAGTCTTGGTGTCACAAAGCAAAAACCAACCAATACAGGGTCCTGTCTTACATCTGTACGCATAAGAGCACCCTCTAATGTCCACAAGCCCGCCTACAAAACATTAACACGTACAATGCACATTTAGAAGTATAAAAAACCCTTAAAAAATGATTTGTTTTTTACTTAAAAAAAAAAAAGAACACAAAAAATATACAATATAAAGAATTAGAGAATTGGATGCTCATCCCCAAAATACAAGAAAATCTAAGAATGTCCCTTAAGTCATTTCTTACCGCAAGGTTTCTGTTTATCGATTTTTCAGGTCCCAGGAGAGAATGAGAAGCAGTGGAAGCGAGTTTTGCTGGTTGTCACAGAAAAAGACCTACTGATGTATGACAGTATGCCTCGTATGAAGGAGGCCTGGTACAGTCCTGTGCACACCTATCCACTCATAGCTACCAGGTATGTCCCAGCTGTTCTTTTATTGAGCAGTTATTTCCAGGTGTGCCTTCATGCCTGGGAAGGTTCTCATTCATCAGGTCAGGTTAGCAGTCTCTTCGTATGTTGACTCTATTGTCATGTCTAATAGTAGTTTGTCACATTCAGTGGACTTGTTCTGTAATGTTGAATACCTCTAATAATTCCTCACCTCTAATAATTGTCACAAAAGTTTGGTTCCTTAGCGTAGACTTCCTTACATTTGCACATGTAAAGCGCTGAGCAAACTGTTGGCGCTATATAAATCCTGTATAATATTTATTTATTACAGGTACTTTATATAGCGCCGTCAATTAACACAGCACTTTACATACATATATTGTACATTCACATCAGTCCCTAACCCTCTAGGGGCGTACAGTCTAAGGTCCCAACTCACATTCAAATACAAGGGCCAATTTAGACAGGATCCAATTAACCTACCAGCATGTCTTTGGAGTGTTGGAGGAAACCAGAGTACCCGGAGGAAACCCACGCAGGCACAGGGAGAACATGCAAACTCCAAGCAGGAGGTGCCGTGGCTGGGATTCGAACCAAAGACCCTAGTACTGCCAGGCAGTTGTGCTAATGATTTAGCCACTGTGCTGCATTATTAATAATAATAATGTATGCTCAGCTGTTATTCCAAAGCTGTTAATAGATGGCTGGGACCAGCCAATTTCAATCCATCTACAGCTATTCTCGTTCGCCAGAAGCCAATCTAATGATCGCCTTCTCTTGGACAGGCTTGTTGGATCATTATTTTTCCAATTGACAGCAACACTGATCAGTGTATTCTGCTAGCAGAGGACTCCTCGCTGTAAGAGTACAATAGCACAGAAGGGAGGATTCCTCCAACCACCTTGCTTGTCTGGATGAGGGGAATCCTTTTCAGTTTTTTTATATTATCAGCCTGCAGGCTGATTGAAACAATGAACCCATGAATGGCCAGCTTGACGTTTGGTTCCAGTTTGCCATATTATCATTCTCGAAAACCCCACACCAAGTGAACTACAGCAGACTGTGATTGGAAGTGGGGATTCAATTGAACATGAGAAAATGCCACCTTTCCAAAATAACCCAAATCTCTATATTTTAGCAATAAAATGAATATTTTCTCTAGCCGCCCCCTCTGTCATTTCTTTCAAGGCGTCTAATGTTATCAGGAAAGTTCCTCTGTAATGAGTAATACCTTCTTGGTGGTAAAACAAAGAAGTGTCAGGTAGATCATCACGGAGAACATCTCCTATTACACACACAAAGGTATAATTGCAGGGTGAGGATGCACGGGGTGTATTTAATGTCACACTGTAACTGTTATAATGCACGGTGCCAACATTTTTTAAAGCAACCGAGCACCTCCCTGACAAGTGCTGTTTCAGATTACATTTAACCACTTCCCATCCGGCCGCTGTTTATAAACGGCAGGACGATGGCACTCCAGGGGCGGGTTGCCGTTCATAAACAGCACCCGCATTTTCTAGCTGTGCGCGCTCCCTGGGAGCGCGCAGCACCGCGATCCGGTGCCCGCTATGTCCTCCAGACACAGTGGAACACTGATCGTCGGATGGGACCTCTGTGCGAAGTCCCGATCATGTGATCACTGATTGGCTAATCAGTGATCACATGCAGAGTAGTAAGCGAGATGTCACTTGTGACATCATTGCTTACTACGTGCGAAATCTGTGAATGATCACAGAGGTCACATGGTACAAGGCTATTCACAACAGCCTTGTACCATGTGACAAGCTGTGACCATTTACAGCTCACACAGTAGTTCTCAATGGCTGCAAGAATGCAGCTAGAGAGAAGGAGAAATTATTGCTTTTACAGCCTTTATGAGTGTAAAAGCAATCAGTGTAAAAAAAAAAAAATCATCACCCCCCACAAGTAGTACAGTGTCACCATGGTGACACTGTACTGCTAGGGTGACAGTATGTAAAAAAAAAAACAAAACATAAATAATATAAAAAAAATGTTTAAAAATGATAATTTTTGGTTATAAACTAATTTGGGTTATTTTTTTTTACAAAAAATATAACGGAATACATTTTGGCCAAGATTTATGATGAAATACTATTTATTTGCAAAATTTTATAAGAAAAACACTTTTTTTTTCAAACTTTTTGGACTTTTTCATTTACATAGCAAAAAAAATAAAAATCCCAGTGGTGAATAAATACCACCAAAATAAAGCTTTATGTGTCTCAAAAAAATTTAAAAAAAATTCATATGGGTACAGTGTTGCATGACCGCGCAATTGTCATTCAAAGTGTGATAGTGCTGAAAATTGGCCTGGCCTGGACAGGAAGGGGGTGAAAGTGTCTGGAAGAGTTGGGATGATATAATATAGTACCGATTTATAAACCACACTTTCCTGGTGGCCAGTGGGAAAAATGTCACCCAATGAGACTATCATGAAGACCTTCACAGTGGTCTCCAGAATGATATCCTACAGACAACTGATGATCACTGGTATCACTGGTATCATGGCTGGGTTGTTGGCCCCGGAATTATGCATACATCGTCATGAAACCTCTGGGGAACCCTGGTTGAGAATAGTTGTTCTAATATATTCCTCACACTCCGTATTATGACAGTGACATATTCCTAAACTGAGCACACACAATACAGTCTGATTACTGAATCTGCTTTAGACCGTCAAGTCTGTAGCACAAGGAGATGACTACCTGGATTCAAATAAAGTGAATTGTTTAGGTCATTACACGGCATGCGTTCTGCTAAATCTCAGAAGATTGTGCAGAGCTTGTACAATCAGATTGTAATGTGTAAGGACAGCTTTAAATAGGACACACAATCCATCACATTCATCTCTCCAGAGGAGCTTGCATTCTAATTTCCCTACAGTGCACACTCTCTGGAGTCAATGTGGTCATTGTAGGCAGGTATCAAAAGTTTAATTTCCAGGTAATTGTACTTTCTGGCAGGGGGCAGCAGATTTTCCTCAGGAATTTGATGGAATTTTTCCCCATCTATATATCCTTCTATCCTGACAAGTGCTCCAGTCCCAGCTGCAGAGAAACCCCCCATAACAGGATATTACCCCCTCCATGCATTACTGCAGGAATGGTGGTATTTGGAAGGTGAGCTGTATTTGATTTCCACCGTTTAGTGCTGAGGCCAAACCATTCAATCTTAGTCTCATTTCACCATAACACCTTTTTCCATGTGGCCTCAGAATCTTCAAGGTGCCTTTTGGAAAAGCTCAGTGGTGACTGCATGTGGCCTTTCTTGAGGGGCGGCTTTTTTCTTGCAACCCTCCCATAGGCACATTAGTGGAGAATTTGTGATATTGTTGTCACATGTACACAATGACCACTCTTTGTCATCAATTCCTGCCACTGCTTCAGAGTTGCTGTAGGCCTCATGGTAGCCTCTCTGACCAACTTCCTCCTGGCTCTTTCATCCAGTTTGGATTGACCTGATCTAGGGAGGGTCTGTGCTGTACCAAATACCTTCCATTTCTTAATAATAGATTTCACTGTGCTTTGACATTTTGAATCCATCTCCTGACTTGTGCCTGTCCACAACTTTATCCCGGAGATCTTTTGACAGTGCCATGCCACCCATAGTTGATTGTTTGATTCAGTTTCACTACCATAGACTGAAATGCTCCAGGAAAGTTCTTTTCATGCTGAGCTAATCAAAATGACCACAGCTGAAAGTCAAATAGCTTTGTGTGCCATTGAGAAGGTGATTAGCTACACCTGAGTGAGTTTACAAGTCATTTTTAGGAGGGGGGTGATCCTTTTTTCAACTCAGTTATTCTGTTTTTGATTTTTTTTCTGACATGTTGGTGTTCTATCTTTCACTTGGATGTTAGAAGTTGCACTGAGTAAATACAGCTGGATAAAACAAAAACTGTATCTGTCTTCATTTCAGACTGCAAAGAAACAAAATGTGATTATTTTAAAGGAGGTGATTCTTTTCTATACCCAGCCTATATTTAACTACTTGCCAACCGCAGATAGCCGAATGATGGCTGCACTGCGGCCGGCCAGTTCTGGGTGGGCGTCATATGACGTCCTCCCAGAACGCTCTCTCAGTGGCGCGCACCCGGCGATCTCCGTGATCGATGTGTCCTACGGACACAGCTGATCACATGATGTGGTAAAAGGCCAATCACAGCGGCCTTTTACCACGTGATCAGCCGTGATCACCGGGAAATGCAATTGCCGGTTCTCGGCTGCACTTTCTTCACGCTGTCAGATCGTGAGGAAAGTACTGCTGAGAACCGGCAGTTGTTAGAGCGAGGATCGGCACCGATCATCAGGGCACTGATGATCTGTGCCCTGATGATCGGTGCCCAGCAGTGCCACCCACAAGTTCCGCCCAACTGTGCCCAGCAGTGCGCCCACCTGTGCCACCCAGCAGTGTCACACAAGTGTGCCCAGAAGTGCCACCTACCTGTGCCCATCAGTGCAACCCAGCAGTGCTGCCAGTCAGTGGCACCAGTCAGTGCCCAGCGGTTGTGCCAGTCAGTGCCCAGCAGTGCCGCCAGTCAGTGCCCAGGAGTGATGCCAGTCAGTGCCACCTATCAGTGCTGTCTATCAGTAGCCATCATCAGTGTCGCCTATCAGTGCCACCTATCTGTGACACCTCATTAGTGCTGCCTATCAGTGCCCATCAGTGCCGCCTCATCAACGCACATCAGTGAAGGAGAAAAATTACCTGTTTGAAAAATTTTATAATAGAAACAAAGAAACTTTTTTTTTCAAATTTTTTGCAATTTTTTTGTTTATAGCGCAAAAAGTAAAGTGCCCAGCGGCAATTAAATACCACCAAAAGAAAGCTCTATTTGTGAGAAAAAAAATGATAAAAATTTCATATGGGTACAATCTTGCATGACCGCGCAATTGTCAATGAAATTGCGACAGCGCTGAAAGCTGAAAAATTGGCCTGGTAAAGAAGGGGGTAGAAGTGCTCGGTAGGCAAGGGGTTAATCACTGTATTAGTGTCACTATTGATGTTCTAGCCAATGTCTGTAACGCCAGATTGTACACATTATGTGATCACAGTCCCACTACAAGTCGCTGATCGCTGCCATTACCAGCATAGCATCTATAGCTGCATAAATTCCAGTATATATACGGTAGTTTGTAGATGCCATAACATTCGCACAAACCATTTAATATACACAGCAGAATACATGAATATATATTTTTTTAATGGATGTTTTATAACAGAATACCTGAAAGTAGAAAAAAAAAATGTTTTTTTCCGAATCTTCAGGTATTTTTAATTTGTGTAGTGAAAAAAAAAAAACCCTGTGGTGATCAAATACCCCCAAAAGAAAGCTTTATTTGTGTGAAAAAAAGATATAAATTTCATTTGCGTACAGTGTTGCATGACCGCACAATTGCCAGTTAAAGTAGCACAGTGCTGAACAGCAAAAAATGGGTTGGTCGTGAAGGAGGCAAAACCTTTGAGAGATCAAGTGGTAAATGACACCCCAAACATAATGCGATTCTGCCATGATTGTCGCTCAACAGGATCGCGCAGCAAACCGGGCCTTTGATAATCACTTGAAGTTTGTCGCCAAGAAAGGAGCAGAAGCTTTTTTTTTTTGGTTGACAAGGATGCATAGGGAAGGCCATTCAAGTGAATGGGCTGGGTCTTTGTGGTATGCAGAATCGTGTGACACTTGCAGCTTGAAAATCACGTAGCAGGAATGCTTGTTCCCACTAAGTGATTATGTGACCAGGACCTTAGGAGGCAGGCTAGGGGTGAAAACACATGTGGGATGTAATTGTAGAACATCTGCAGTCATGTGTGCCTTAAAGCCGAGCTCCACTCACACTGTCAAAAAATAAAAGTCAGCAGCTACAAAAACTTAAAAAAACAGCCACTTACCTGTCCCTCAGTTCCGTGGTGTGTCCCCCGCAGCCTGTTTCACCGGCCGTCGTGTATTCCAGGCACCAGCAGCTTTAGTGTGGGCACCCGGCTGTGACTGCCAGGTACTCACTGTGCATGCGTGGGTAGCGCTGCGCTTCATGAATGGTCCTGTAGTCTTCTGGGACCTGTCACGTGCCCCAAAAGAGTACAGGAATGGAGGGAAGACACCTTCCATTTCCGATCGCCTAGGTCAGTGGTCGGCAAGCCACATGCGGCTCTTTACACATTTTAATGCGGCTCTTCTGTGTGCCGGGCGCCCGCTCCCCTCCCTCCTCTCGGGTGGCCGCCCCAAAATTCAGGACTCTGCAGCTAGCCCAGCAATGGGCAAACTACGGCCCGGCGGACCTTTTAATCCCGCGGAGCGTGGCAAACATTGGCTGTCAGGATGTAGGCGGGGCAGCATGACGAACTCCTCTCCTCTCACAGTCCGCCCTGAAGACCGGAACGGCGCGGGAACATGGCGAGAGGAACGCGCGGAGCAAAGGTAAGTGAATTGACACAATATGGGGAATGAATGGGGGGATTTACTATAGGGGGGATGAATTACTATATGGGGGATGAATTACTATATGGGGGATGAATTACTATGGGGGATTAACATGAATTACTATGGGGGATGAATTACTATATGGGGGATGAATTACTATGGGGGATGAATTACTATATGGGGGATGAATTACTATATGGGGGATGAATTACTATATGGGGGATGAATTACTATATGGGGGATGAATTACTATGGGGGATGAATTACTATGGGGGATGAATTACTATAGGGGGATGAATTACTATATGGGGGATGAATTACTATAGGGGGATGAATTACTATATGGGGGATGAATTACTATAGGGGGGATGAATTACTATATGGGGGATGAATTACTATATGGGGGGATGAATTACTATATGGGGGGTGAATTTACTATAGGGGGGATGAATTACTATATGGGGGATGAATTACTATAGGGGGATATATGAATTACTATATGGGGGATGTATTTTCAGTTTTAAAAATGTGGCTCTCAAAATAAATTTCAATCGTGGTTTTGGCGAGATTTGGCTCAGTTGAAAAAAAAAGGTTGCCCACCACTGGCCTAGGTGATCGGACCGGAATTGGGAGCGGGTACCTCTCAAATTTGGGTACCCGCTCACCCACCCCCCCAAAGGTGCCAATCCTCAATGGGGAGAGGGGAAACAGTCCTTAAAGCGGAACTTCCCCTTTTGGGTGGAGCTCCGCTTTAACTTCTTATGATTAAAGCTGAACTCCGGCCATACCTTCAGTCCTGCACAGTCGTACCGGCTCCTCTCCTGTACTGAAATTGCTGATTGCACTGCACACTGTGAGCATAGAGAAGCACAGATACCCAGTGATATCTTCACTGGATCTAAAATGTGGTCTGTGTTAAAAAAAGGTTTTATTTGAAAATGTCATTAGTGTGTCGATGAGGGGAAAGCAGGGACCAGGGATGGCAAAATATAAGCAGATGAAACTTCAGCTTTAAATTTCTGCTGCCAAAAGTGATTTGTTCAAAACAACTGTGCCAGTTTTCAAAAGCCAAAAACAAATGCACCGGTCTTCCTCTATGAGGGTCATTGACCAATACATATCTGCACCTGTGTTTAAGAATTCTGAGCAGATTAACATGTAACTAAGAGGTTTGCAGCCCCAGCGCGTGTGTATGTGTGTGATAGGGACATGAATTCCTTATGGGGTAGGGGGACTGACGTAAATGCTGCGTAGCCCTCTGTAAGCAGCTTTAGGAATCATTGTTTCAGCATTTTATTATTAAGCACATAAAACATTAATGAATTCTATAGTTGGATACGTGCCCCCTTGTTTCCAGCTAATGCTCCACAACTCTCTCTATTCTATTGCAGGTTAGTCCACTCCGGACCTGGAAAAGGGTCTTCTCTGTTTAATACGGAGTTCTCCTTTGCAACACGTACCGGCTCCAGGCAAGGGGTCGAGACCCACCTGTTCAGAGTGGAGACCAGCAGGGACCTCTCACTGTGGACCAGACAGATTGTGCAAGGCTGCCATAACTCTGCCGAACGCATCAAAGAGATCACCACCCGTAAGTAGCAGCCAACCTGTACTGTAAGGAAGAGAAATGGAAGATTGTTTAACCGCTTCCCTGCCGCCCTATAGTACAAATACTGCTGCAGGGCTGTGCAAAATCACATGTGTATATGTACATGATTTTACATTTCCAGGTAGGGGGCACACCCTACCCACGCCGCCAGTAGCGGCTACAGCTGTCAATCACCAAGTCCTGGCCAGAGATTCCCTGCTGGCACCCGACTGAATATCACTGACGGGGGAGAGGTCTGTATGTAAACAATACAGATCTCTCCCCTGTCCACTCCAAAACGCTGCTTTGTATTGCTCTGCATAGCACACAGTGTAAAACACACAGTTAACCCTTTGATCGCCCCAATGTTAACCCCTTCCTGCCCAGTGCCATTAGTACAGTGTCAGTGCTTTTTATTAGCACTGATTACTGTATTAGTGTCACTGGGGATATCAGTGACCGTCGGTCACTTCCCCCCCCCAGAATGTCTGCCGCAGTCCCGCTATAAGGTGCTGATCACCGCTATTACTAGTATAAAAAAAAATTTAAAATTCCAGTATAAATACCGCCATTTGTAGACGCTATAACTGTCATGTAAACCAATTAATTTACACATATTGGGATTTTTTAAGCAAAACACATTTTGGCCTACATTTATGATGAATAAATTTATGATGGATATTTTTTATGAGAATCGGGGATTTTTTAAAAAAAAATTCAGTCTTTTTTCGTTTATAGCACAATTTATGATGAAATTAGATTTTCTTTAAGTTTTTTTTTACTGGATATGATTTATAGCAAAAAGTCAAAAATATTGCGTTTTTTTTTTTGTCAGTCTTTTTGTTTATGGCACAAAAAAATTACAAATGCACAGGAGATCAAATACCACCGAAAGAAAGCTCTATTTGTGGGGATAAAAGGACTTAAATTTAATTTGGGTGCAGTGTTGCATGACCTGAAGTAGCGCAGCGCTGTATTGCAAAAAATGGTTTGGTCAGGAAGGGGGTAAATCCTCTGGAGGGCAAGGGGTTAAAGTATATGTCAGGGCAACATAAACAAATACATCTCTGTAATACACACACTATATCCCTGTACAACATAATACATTGATGGAATAACACACATCCACCTCTCTGCACACAACCGTGCCAACATTATAAACCAGAAAGATGGATGCAGGAATGGAAACAAATGGATCCAAACTGACACAGCAAAGTCACTGCTTCAATAGTAGTTCATGAAACCGGTGCAGAAACCGTTGACTAAAGAGGCGCTCTTCTCCTGACAATAAACTGCAGCTCCTCGGAAGACAACACAATCTTCAACTAGCAAAAAACAGGGAGGGCACAGATAACGATTTTTCCTTTGTTTTTTTTTTTTGTAAGAACAGAATACCACCTACCATGAATCTGGTGAGTTCCTTTCTGTTTGGGCTGACAACACAGTGCTGTTGCTGCACTGAAATCCCAAGCAGTGTTGTCAGCCCTGATGACTGGACTACAGAACTCCACCTATCCCACCCACTCCACATGCATACATTCATTTATTTTTCCTAGCAAAACAAGATAAAAAAAATATATAATTCAGAGACATGCTGCAGAACAGGGATAGGCACCTTTAATTGCTTTCATGTTGTTCAGGTAGATTTCCACCTCTGAAAGATCACTGGAGTTCACTGAAAAACTAACTAGTAAGGCCTAACTAAATAGTAAGAAACAATTCAAAAAATATAATAAAACAAATGTTACTGTAAAAATGTAAATGTAGCCTACCTTAAAAGTGGACAGTGTCAGTAGAGCAGTAGACAGTGTCAGTAGGGCAGTGGATGGTGTGTGGATGGTGTCAGTTGGGCAGTGGACAGTGTCAGTCGAGCACAGTGGACGATGTCTGTAGAGCAGTGAACGGTGTCTGTAGAGCAGTGAACGGTGTCTGTAGAGCAGTGAACTTACTACGAGGGCTGGATTACACTATGAATTGTGAATCACATGTGATCCAGCCAGGCGCAGTACCATTTCAGCCCATTTATTTGAATGAGCTGAAATCACACCGGACCACACAACGAAAGTATTGCATGCACTACTTTATAAAATGCAGAGCAACCGGATCGCATGGTGTTACTGTACCGTGCGATCAGGTGCTGGTAAGCGCACTACGTTTGCGATCTGAGGTGTCATTAAGTTTACATCGATGCCCGTTGCAGATTGTAACTGCAATGCGCTTTGAATGCGGCGCAGGAAATGTGCACAGAATGCTGGTTTCCCCGCACTGAGTTCTGGTGTGAACTGGCCCTAAACAAGCCTATTGCAGCTTCCAGGTTATCAGGACTACAGATGATCTTGGGCATCTTTCAATCCCATCTCTGTCCATATAGTCCAGTTAGCTGCAGCCTGGGTGCTTCTCACATAAATAAAGGGGCGGGGATGCACATGGCCATATTTAATGTCATTGAATAGACATGGGCTGTACTGTCCAACATGAAAAACAGTATCATTTTTAAAGCTTGCAGCAGGGATCCAGACATGGTGTACGCTTGAGCAGAAGTAACTTTTTACATCTCAGAAATTACAAAAAGGTCTGTGTCTGGAGTTCTGCTTTAACCTCCCTGGCGGTTCTAACTAATCAATATTTTTGAATGTCAAAGCGGTACATTTTTCTGCATGGAAATTTGTTATTTTATATTGTAGGCCTGTAATTTTTAGGAATAACTTACTTAAATCTGTCCAAACCAGAGTCTAGTAAACATCCCGGGTAGGATAAAGTTTGAAACACAAATTCATAAATTATAATATAATACATAATTATAAAAAATTATAATATAATATTAATAAATTTAATTCAATAATATAATCAAACCAAAAACACTGAAATTTGAAATATAGCGCCAAGTTCACACATCGCTGAGCAAAGTCGCAGAATCGTTTTCAGTGTCTGATGAGGAATTTCCCCACGAATCATTATCACTCAATTCTGCAAGTGGTTCTGATTTACTATCGCTGTTCTCTAGCTGGTCTAAAACCGCTTTTGACCTAAAGGGACGCTTTTTGGACGCCATGGACGTTTCTCAGTTTCCAGGCAGAAAGAACAGTAAAAATGCAGGCAGTGCGCAGGACAAAGCACTCAGTATTACATTACTGTATCAAACCATTTCACATACATTTTGTCCCAACAGATTACAGTGTATTGTTTGTATGTCAAATTTTTAGGTTTTTGAATCTCCCGCCGGTTCCACCCCCCTGTACGTTCCGTCGCTTGCAGGGAACGGAGCCCAGAAGATAGATGCCAGCATCAGCCGGGGGACACAGCGGGAGGACAGCGCGGGATCGTGGGGCAAGGTAAGTCTCGAGCAATCGATGCACTGTAATCCCAAGTGTTGCTCGGGGTTACCGCTTTTGGTACTGAAATTAACCACGAGTCAAACTCGGGATTACCGCCAGGGGGGTTAAAGTGGAACTACAGTCTAATAATGAAAAACCTCTAAGCAGCAACTCTCTCATTATTTCAGACGGGACACGCAATGTCTCTTCTGCAATAAAATAAACCTACCTGTCTTCTGTAGAATGTACACTAAGTTGCGTATGTGCAGCTCAGTGAACATTCTGGTTGGGATGACTAAAAGCTAGTATATGTATGGGAGTGACATCATCCCACAGCAGCCAATCAAGATGGTCAAAGACAATTGGCACCTAGAAAAAGCCAGTGAGCAGATGCTGGGGAGGGATCTCACAGGTGTCAGACAATTGAAACAGGTGAGTATCGCTGAGTTTAGTTGCACTTTAACCACTTGCCCTCCTGCCCACGGTACTTGTACTGCAGGTGCACAGCATGTACAGGCACTGCAACATACCTACGTCATGATGCACATGGGCACTAGCGTGAACCCTGGGGCGTGCGGCAGTGCTATCCCATGACCATGGTACCCAGCCTTTCTGAGGTATCATGTGATTGCTATGGCTAATCATAGCAATCACATGATGTAAACAAACTAATGAATGAATTTCTTTCATGAACAGTTAGCTGTGGGCCAATCACAGCACAATAGTAAGCTATCACATGGTACAAGGCTGTTGTGGATTGCCTTGTACCATGTGATAGCTGTAGGCCAATCACAGCACAATAGTAAGCTATCACATGGTACAAGGCAATCCACAACAGCCTTGTACCATGTGATAGCTAATAGTAAGCAAGCTGTCATTCATGACATTTCAGAGGATTGCTTATAGCAATGATCTTCACTGCTATAGGCAATCAGCGTAAAAAAAAAATTCCTGATCACCCTCCAGAGTTGTACAATGTCACTATGCTGACACTGTAATACTATGATGGAAGTACATAAAAAAAAATAGCAAAAAAAAGAAATAAATGTTAAAAAGGAAAAAGTGTGTTTGAGCAATTGAATTAAAAAATATTAAATTTTTTGTTACATATTTTCACCGGTCATATGATAACGCTGCACTGCTCTGGTGATGGGGAAAAAAAACTATTTTTTATTTAATTTCTTCTTTTCCAAAAAATTGTGACAAAAATAGTATAACTTCAAAAACCTGGCCATGCCTCTTACTAAATACCTTGGACTTTCTACTTTCCAAAAAGGCATCATTTGGGGGTATTGTACTGTCCTGGCATTTTCAGGCTTAAAGAAATGAGAATAAGCAGCCAGTGTAGCAGGATTTTTCATTTTTCAAATATATACCGTAGTTTGTATACTCCATGACTTTCACACAGCCTAAACAGTAAACACTGATTTGGGTTATTTTCACCAAAGAAATGTAGCAGAATACATTTCAGCCTAAATTTATAAAGAAAGATTATTTGTTTGCAAAAGTTATAACTGAAACTAAGAAAAACGTGTTTAACTGCTTCCAAAATACTGCTACAGTGTAGCACGTGTATGTGATTTTGCAGTTCCTGGTGTGGGCGCGCACCCTACCCGCGCTACCATTCGTGGCCTCAGCTGTCAATCACCGGGTCACGGCCGGTGATTCACGAGGATTTCCAACAGGGGAGAGACCTGCATGTAAACTACACAGATCTTTCCGCTGGCAGCTCTTGCACACTTCTTTGTATGACTCTGCATAGCAGAGCCATACAAAGCAGTGTGCTTACAGTGAAGCGCACACATACAGCTCACAGTTAACCCTTTGATCACCCCAGATGTTAACCCCTTCCTGCCCAGTGTCATTAGTACAGTGTCAGTGCTATTTATTAGCACTGATCACTGTATTGATGTCACTGGGGATGTCAGTGACACCAAGTCAGTCCCCCCCAAGTGTCAGAATGCCTGCCGCAGTCCCACTATATGTTGCTGATCACCGCCATTGCTAGTTTAAAAAAAAATAAAAAATTCCAGTATATATACCGCCATTTGTAAATGTTAGAACTTTCACAAAAACCAATTAATTTACATGTATTGGGATATTTTTTTTTTTTTTTTAGCAAAGACCTGTAACAATACATTTTGGCTTAAATTTATGATGAATTTTGATTTTGAAAATTTTTTTACTGGACATGTAATAGCAAAAAGTCAAAAAATATGTATATGTATATATTTTTTTTTTTAAAAATTGACGGTCTTTTTTGTTTATAGCACAAAAAATAAAACCAGCAGAGGCAATCAAATACCACTGAAAGAAATCTATTTCTGGAAAATAAAGGACGTAAATTTTATTTGGGTGCAGCGTTGCATGACCGCGCAATTGTCAGTTAAAGTAACGCAGTGCCGTATTGCAAAAAAATAGCCTGGTCAGGAGGGGAGTAAATCCTCTGGAGGGCAAGTGGTAAAAAAAAAAGTGATCAAATACCACCAAAATAAAACTCTATTTGTATGGGGAAAATTATATATATTTCATTTGGGTACAGTGTTCCATGATCGAGCAATTGCCAGTTGAAGTAGCACAGTGATGAATAGCAAAAAATTCTCTGGCCATGAAGGGGGGAAAATCTTCCGGAGGTCAAGTGGTTACAGACAGTAGAGGAACACTTTAGATGTGTTCAGACACTTGATTTATAAGCACTTGAGTTTTCACTTTGCAACATCAGAAACAGCTGTGTAGTGCAGGCTCCGTTCATACACAAGTTCCATATTCATGGTCAGGAATAGAGAACATGTTTTAGGGATTCCCCATTACTGGGATTGTTTGTAGCTGTGAGATGTGTAATGCTGTGCAGATATCACATTCATCATTTGTGTACAAGGAAGGAATCGTTCCTTACAGCTGTAATGTTCAGTCCCCTCTCTAATGTTGGCCTATTGATCCATGTACCAGTTACTACATCCTTGTCAGGAGGAAAGCTAGAGATTAATGATACAATCCGAGCGATTGCAACGGTCTAGTTAATGAGTCACTACTATTGTGCTGCAATGCTTAATGTGTTACTAAACCCCGGACCCTGCATTCACTCTATCTGGTCTCCCCGCACCTGCATTCACTAGATCTGGTCTCCACTGGACCCCGCACCTGCATTCACTATATCCGGTCTCCCCGGACCCTGCATTCACTATATCTGCTCTCCCCGGACCCTGCATTCACTATATCTGGTCTCCTTGGACCCTGCATTCACTATATCTGGTCTCCTTGGACCCTGCATTCACTATATCTGGTCTCCCCGGACCCTGCATTCACTATATCTGGTCTCCCCAGACCCTGCATTCACTATATTCGGTCTCCCCGGACCCTGCATTCACTATATCCGGTCTCCCCGGACCCTGCATTCACTATATCCGGTCTCCCCGGACCCTGCATTCACTATATCCGGTCTCCCCGGACCCTGCATTCACTATATCTGGTCTCCCCGGACCCTGCATTCACTATATCCGGTCTCCCCGGACCCCCTGCATTCACTATATCCGGTCTCCCCGGACCCTGCATTCACTATATCTGGTCTCCCCGGACCCTGCATTCACTATATCTGGTTTCCCGGACCCTGCATTCACTATATCCGGTCTCCCCGGACCCTGCATTCACTATATCCGGTCTCCCCGGACCCTGCATTCACTATATTCGGTCTCCCCGAACCCTGCATTCACTATATCTGGTCTCCCCGGACCCTGCATTCACTATATCTGGTCTCCCCGGACCCTGCATTCACTATATTCGGTCTCCCCCGAACCCTGCATATCCGGTCTCCACGGACCCTGCAATCACTATATCCGGTCTCCCCGGACCCTGCATTCACTATATTTGGTCTCCCACGGACCCTGCATTCACTATATCTGGTCTCCCCGGACCCTGCATTCACTATATCTGGTCTCCCAGGAGCCTGCATTCACTATATCTGCTCTCCCCGGACTCTGCATTCACTATATCTGGTCTCCCAGGAGCCTGCATTCACTATATCCGCTCTCCCCGGACTCTGCATTCACTATATCCGCTCATCCCACAGTACAGTACACAGAACATGGAAATGCAATTATTTTTGTAAATATAAACTGCTAAATACCTTTTCTCATCAGCAGTATATAGCAGTTGTATGACTTCTATCAATGTCCAGTAGAGCACTGGTTAAAGCTTGTAGGAGTTTTCAATCTCCTGTAGGCGGATGCAGGACCCCTGATCTCTGTCTGGACAATGATGATTGTCCCTGTGCTGATCACATGCACTCTCCCAAGAAAAATAAAAACCTCTAGCAAAACACACCAAACTGAGCATGTGCAGAGTGACTCCACACAATATGTCTTATCAGGAGATACAGTGAGGAACAGAAGTATGTGAACACCCTGCGATTTTGCAAGTTCTCCCACTTAGAAATCATGGAGGGGTCTGAAATTCACATTGTAGGTGCATTCCCACTCTGAGAGACAGAATTTAAAAAACAATTCAGGAAATCCCATTGTATGATTTTTAAAGAATTTATTTGTCTTGCACTGCTGAACATTAAGTATTTGAACACCTAAGAAACAGCAAGAATTCTGGCTCTCAAAGACCTATTACTGTGCCTTTAAAAAGTCCACCTCTACTCCACTCATTAATCTAACTTAGTAGCACCTGCCTGAGCTCTTTATAAAGACCTGTCCACCCCACAGTCAGTCAGACACCAACTACTACCATGGGCAAGACTAAAGAGCTGTCAAAAGACACCAGAGACAAAATTGTGGACCTCCACAAGACTGGAGAGGGCTACGGGGCAAGCACGGGGGGCATTGCCAATCAGCTAGCCCCACCCTCACCTAACAGCCGCTAGCCCTTCCAAACTTCCCACTCCATCCCCCACAGCCAATTGTACCTCTACCCCCTCCCTCCTAGATTGTAAATGCTCGAAAGAGTAGGGCCCTCTTACCCCTTGTGTGCTGTTTGATGTTACTGTACTGTTTCATGTATTGTCCCCCTCTATTGTACAGCGCTGAGCAAACCCTTTGGCGCTATATAAACTCGATAAATAAATAAATAAATAAATAAATAAGCTTGGTGAGAATAGATCAACTGTTGGAGCAATTGTTAGAAAATGGAAGAGGCTAAAGATGACTGTCAGTCTCCCTCGGACTGGGGCTCCATGCAAGATCTCACCTCGTGGGGTATCACTGATGATAAGAAAGGTGAGGAATCAGCCCAGAACTACAAGGGAGGAGCTGGTCAATGACATGAAGAGAGCTGGGACCACAGTTTCAAAGGTCACTGTCGGTAAAACACTACGCCTTCATGGTTTCAAATCATGCATTGCACGGAAAGGTTCCCCTGCTCAAGTCATCACATGTCCAGGCCTGTCTGAAGTTTTCCAATGACCATCTGGATGATCCAGAGGAGGCATGGGAGAAAGTCATGTGGTCAGATGAGACCAAAGTAGAACTTTTTGGTCTAAACTTCACTCATCATGTTTGGAGGAAAAAGAAGGATGAGTTGCATCCCAAGAACACCATCCCTACTGTGAAGCATGGGGATGGTAACATCATGCTTTGGGGGGGTTTTCTGCGAAGGGGACAGGATGACTACACTGTATTAAGGACAGGATGAATGGGCCATTTATTGTGAGATTTTGAGCAACAACCTCCTTCCCTCAGTCAGAGCATTGAAGATGGGTTGTGGCTGGGTCTTCCAACATGACAACGACCCGAAGCACACAGCCAGGATAACCAAGGAGTGGCTCCGTAAGAAGCATATCAAGGTTCTGGAGTGGCCTAGCCAGTCTCCAGACCTAAATCCAATAGAACATCTTTGGAGGGAGCTGAAACTCCGTGTTCCTCAGCGACAGCCCCGAAACCTGACAGATCTAGAGGAGATCTGTGTGGAGGAGTCGGCCAAAATCCCTGTTGCAGTGCAAACCTGGTCAAGAACTACAGGAAACGTCTGACCTCTGTAATCGCAAACAAAGGATTCTGTACCAAATATTAACACTGATTTTCTCAGGTGTTCAAATACTTCTGTTCAGCAGTGCAAGACAAATACATTCTTTAAAAATCATACAATGTGAATTCCTGAATTTTTTTTTTTCAATTCTGTCTCCCAGAGTGGGAATGCACCTACAATGTGAATTTGAGACCCCTCCATGATTTCTAAGTGGGAGAACTTGCAAAATCGCAGGGTGTTCAAATACTTCTGTTCCTCACTGTAAGAGGGGGACGCTGGAAGAAGGGGAGGATCAGAGGAGTGAGGCTCAAACAGCATTTTTACACAATGCAGAGGATTAACCCCTTAGGTTCCACAGTGAGTATAACAAGCATGCTTTACTGCACATACAGACTGATTGTACTGTTGTGGGTTTAGTAACACTTTTAAAGCTGAACTAACATAAAAAACACCATTCAGTCCAGTTATGTCTTCATTAATAAATCCGGTTAAATACTGCTAATATAAGTACATCAATATGTCCTGATATCAGCCTCTGGTCAACCCTGCACAACAGATGGGAGGGGGAGGAGCAGCACCAGGAGCCATCAGGCTTTACATTTCAGTGTTAACTCACCAGTGTGCTGCTGAACCCTCATTGTCCAACTAGAAGGGTGCAGGTAAGTCCTTTACTGTGCAGCTTAACTGAAGGGAAAAGCAAGGTCAGTGACCTGATTGTGCTGTCTGGGAGGAGTGTCTGGATCACAGTACTGACCAAACAAAATTTAAAAACATTTAGCAGGTGAAACAATTCAGGTATTTTAGCTTTTGGCCGGAGTTCAGCTTTAAATCTAAATACAAATGAACACATCTCTGTAATCAACAATAAATACTAAGTGTATTTTTATAAAAATGCAAGCAGTGTAAGTACTTGAGTTTACCCTAGTATACCGTGTCTGAGTACAGACCCCTCAGTACAGACATCCCTCCACCAGTACAGACCCCTCAGTACAGACATCCCTCCACCAGTACAGACCCCTCAGTACAGACATCCCTCCACAGTACAGACCCCTCAGTACAGACATCCCTCACCAGTACAGACCCCTAAGTACAGACATCCCTCCACCAGTACAGACCCCTCAGTACAGACATCCCTCCACCAGTACAGACCCCTCAGTACAGACATCCCTCCACCAGTACAGAGCCCTCATTACAGACATCCCTCCACCAGTACAGACCCCTCACTACAGACATCCCTCCACCAGTCACAGACCCAGACCCCTCAGTACAGACATCCCTCCACCAGTACAGACCCCTCAATACAGACATCCCTCCACCAGTACAGACCCCTCAATACAGACATCCCTCCACCAGTACAGACCCCTCAATACAGACATCCCTCCACCAGTACAGACCCCTCAGTACAGACATCCCTCCACCAGTACAGACCCCTCAGTACAGACATCCCTCCACCAGTACAGACCCCTCAGTACAGACATCCCTCCACCAGTACAGAATACAGACATCCCCCCCTCAATACAGACATCCCTCCACCAGTACAGACCCCTCAATACAGACATCCCTCCACCAGTACAGACCCCTCAATACAGACATCCCTCCACCAGTACAGACCCCTCAATACAGACATCCCTCCACCAGTACAGACCCCTCAGTACAGACATCCCTCCACCAGTACAGACCCCTCACTACAGACATCCCTCCACCAGTACAGACCCCTCAAGTACAGACATCCCTCCCCTCCAGTACAGACCCCTCACTACAGACATCCCTCCACCAGTACAGACCCCTCAGTACAGACATCCCTCCACCAGTACAGACCCCTCAGTACAGACATCCCTCCACCAGTACAGACCCCTCAATACAGACATCCCTCCACCAGTACAGACCCCTCACTACAGACATCCCTCCACCAGTACAGACCCCTCAATACAGACATCCCTCCACCAGCACAGACCATTCAATACAGATTTTTCTCCAGCAGTACAGACCCTTCAGTACAAACACCCTCCACCAGCACAGACCCCTCAATACAGACATCCCTCCACCAGTACAGACCCCTCAGTGAAGCCCATCCCCCCAACAACACACACACTACAGGCCTCCAAGTACAGACACCACCCAGCGTGCGCTGCTAGTAATACAGGAGTCATGTCAGAGTTTACTGAGCTTCAAAGAGGACAAATTGTTAGTGCTGCTTAGCTGGTGCCTCTGTGATTGAAGTTGCCAATTTATTTGTAGTGTCATGAGCTTCAGTATCAAAGGTAATGACGGCATATACAGTTTCCGGGAAAACCGTTGTCTGGTCAGCTGACCGAAAGAGGCCAAAGGACATTGTGCAGGACTGTGACCTGGAATAAGAAAACCGTGACTGCAGAGCTCAATCACAGTCTTCCAAAGCCCGTGTCCACAAGCAAGCAAGCAAGGGAGCTCCATAAGCAAAACATTCACGGGCGTGCTGCAATTGCCAAACCACTAGTGACCAATATTAATGCACAGAAGACAAGAGAGAGTGGTGCAGCGCCCATAAATCGTGGCCTATCAATCAATGGAAGACTGTAATATGGTCCGGTGAATCAAGCCTCACACTGTTCCCAACCACTGGATGTATTTACAAGCTTATGACCAGGACTGTCTTGTGCCGATGGTAAAGCACGATGGTGGTGCAATCATGGTTTGGGCAGCCATATCTTGGTATTCTGCAGGCCCCATCATCACCTTGAAAGGCGGAGTCACTGCCAGTGACTATGTACAGATTTTGGCCGACTATGTGCACCCCATGGTTCAGACGTTGTTTCCCGAAGACCGCGCCATTTACCAAGATGATAATGCTCCGATTCACACAGATGGTGTTGTCAAAACGTGGTTTGACGAGCATGCAGATGAAGTCTCACACCTTCCCTGGGAGCCGCAGTTGACCAGACCTCAATATCATAAAGCTACTATGGTACATTTATGTAGAACAAGATTTGGGCTCGTTTTCCATCCTCCGGCATCTCTGTGAGGACTGGAACGATATTTGCATGAAGAGTAGTATCAGATACCATTATCCGACATCCAAGACTTACTGTATATTTGTCAATTCCCAGGAGAATTCAGGCCATCTTGGATGCCAAAGGCAGTCCAATATTTCGCTAATGATTTAATTCTTTTACCTGGCGTTTCCATATTTTGTCCAACCCCTGTACGTACACTGGTACATGCTGGACCAATGTAACCAAGTAAAAATTTCCATGACTAAACTTGATCTTTAAATACATTAAAGTGGTTGTAAACTCATATATTTACCCAGTGAAGTGATGGGCCTCAAATGATACAAATACTACTACATAAGTTGTGCCTGTTTATCTACAGTAAGGCGTGGGGAGCTGAAGTTACATCAGTGTGGAGAACTGATTGGAAGGAAGGGACACCCCCCCCCCCTTCACACAGCACACAGGAAGAGAGCTGAGGCTGTCAATCACAGACTGTGCTCTCCCCTGTTACTATTTTTCTCTTGGTGTCCAGAAAATTAGTCAAAAGTGACTCATGCTGATAGTAGAGGAATGAGGCAGCAGGCAGAAAGGACACTTAGTGCACTTGATTGAGTGCATACTATAGAGGGATATGCTTTGTTCATATCCCTGTCTTTCATTCATGTCTGAGGTTTACAACCACTTTAATGAACATATGCCAGTATGGGACAGACAGACACAGCTGGAGGAGAGCTCCAGATTTAGGCCAAGTCTCTGACCTGAACTGTGTAATAGAAATGGAGAGATGTCTGCACTCAAATCCAAAAGGTTTGCATTCATATAACACATTGGGTGCTAAAGGTATATGACCACATGTTAACACTGAAACATATAAGTTAACTCTTTGCACACTGTTGTACACCCTTATATATTTCTAGAAATCTCCAGGGGAAAAAAACAAAGATTTTTGGTTCACTTACATTGCAATACATTTTTAAGCTGGCCAATTATGTCAAAGCTCTCTTCCAAGTATATCTCTTTGTCCCATATTGGCACTATATGTCCACTAAAGTTTGCTATAGTCAAGTACATTTTTGGAACTCTACAGAGTAGAGTAAGAAAAGGACCGAAAGGTTTGCTTTGATGCAGTTGGCCAGATAGGGGTAACTTTGACACGGTTGGTCAGAGAAGGATTCCATTGACATTGTTGGCCAGAGAGGGATCCCTTTGATGTAGTTAGGCAGAGAGGGTCACTTTGACATAGCTGACCAAGAGAGATCACCTTGATGTAGTTGGCCAGAGAAGGCTCACTTTGACATAGTTGGCCAGAGAGTGATCAATTTGACACAGCTTGCTAAAGAGGGATCACTTCCACACATTTGGCTAGAGAGGGATCACATTGATGCAACTGGCCAAAGAGGGATCACTTTGATGTAGTTGGCCAGCTTTAACGTGTATTGTAACTTACGTAAACCATGAATCCCTGTTTTTATGCAAAAATATGTAAGAGGGTATAGCTCTGTACAGAGGGTCAATTCAGAATTTTTATTGTTACTAACAAAATGAGCCGGACTCAACAAAATGAGCCAAAACTCATGATAGCGTCATGGAGTTTCAGAACAGTAAGCTCTAATTTACGTTTTTTTTTCTCTGCCTTTTAGCTTGTACATACAAGAACCAAGATTGTCGATTAGTGATCAATTACGAGCATGGATTCTCTATCGCAGTGCAGGCTCCTGATGGTACTTTCACTAACATTTTAGCACAATACCCGTATGAAAAGCTAAAAATGTCCTCAGACGACGGACTCAAAATGCTATTTTTAGACTTTGGTGGCAACGATGGGGACATTGTAAGTTATGTTTAAATTTATTATCTATTGTCTGGTCCCTCCATTCATTGCCATATTTAGAACTTCTCACATGCTCCTCCTTTTCTCTGGAATTCTCTCCTACATGCTCTCCAACCCTTGAAGACTTTGGGAACACCCACCTCTTCAAACCAGCAAACAATCTGATCTGTTCTCTTCTGACAAGGCGCACTCTGGGGTATATTTACTAAAGCTTGAGTGTGCAAATCAGGCTCACTTCTGAATAGAAACCAATCAGCTTACAACCTCAGCTTGTTCAATTAAGCTTTGGTAATAAAGCCTGGAAGCTGATTGGTTTCTAGGCAGAGGTGAGCCTGATTTTGCACTCTCCAACTTTAGTAAATAAACCCCTCTGTCACCTTGGATACACCTTTCTGACCTCCTTTATTGTTTCAAAGTCTTGTGTCTCTAGACTGTAAGCTCATATGAGCACAACTGTATTCTATTGTTTCTTCTTATTATTACATTTAGCTGAACAAAATAGGTACTTGTCTTTGGAACATTTTATGTATAATATTTTCTGTACTACCCTCTCTACTTTGCCCAGTGCCATGGGATATGATGGCACCTTATAAATCAATAAATAAAATAATAATATAGATTAATGTGTCATTAATAGAATTGTACAGTAGACTTAACCACTTCCCCCCAGGCCAATTTTGACACTTCTCACATACATGTAAACATCTGCATTTTTTGCTAGAAAATTACTTAGAACCCCCCCAAACATTACATATTTTGAAGCCGAGGCCCTAGAGAATAAAATGGTGGGTGTTGCAATTTTTTATGTTACACAGTATTTGCACTGCGATTTTGCAGGTTATGTTACGTCGAGTAAATAGATACCAAACATGTCATGCTTTAAAATTGCATATGCCCGTGGAAGGCGACTCTTTAAAAGCCATTACAGCTTTCCAGTTTAGAGTTACATAGGAGGTCTGGTGCTGGAATTATTGCTCTCACTCTGATGCTCATGGCGATACCTCACGTGTCGTGCAATCGCTATTTACATATGTGTGTGGGACCAACGCGTGCATTCGCCTTTGCACAGTGGGACGGTGCACTTTCTTTTATTCTTTTTTTAATTATTAATTTTATTAGATTTTTTTTTTTTACACTGTAACTAATTTTTTTGTATCACTTTTATTGCTGTCATAAGGGATGAACAACAACCCTTGTGATAACATGGGCCATGACAGGTCTTCTTTATGGAGAGATCTGGGGTCGATTAGACCCCAGATCTCTCCTCTAGATTTCAAAGCATCTGATTCAACCAAGATCGGTTTTATCTGATGCTTGTACAAGCTGGTAATGACTTGTTTACATGAGGTCGAAACTGGAAGTGATGTAATCCTTGTTGCTTCCGGTTTCCGATGTCACACGGTGGGAGGAATGACATTTGTTCCTCTCACTGTGTTTCAGGCACAAGATGCCGTGGACGAGGGGCATAGATAAGGTCCAGATTGCACAAAAATAGAAATCCACAGAGAGGTCCAGCTAATGCCAAGGTCTTATGTAGATGGGAGTTGTCAAGCACTACATTTTACAAGTGACAAGGCCTGTATTGGATTGCAATTGCAGCAAAGGCTGCTCCTGGCCATTCGCAAAATGGCCAAGAGAAGAGTGCGGTGGAGATGTGCTGGCAGCGCTGGGTTCTATGAGACTCGCAGCACGTACTCCTGGAGCTATACTTCTCCCAGCATGTACAACACTAGAGGATTTGCAGGATGTAGAAGGAAGTGTTCACCAGAAGGATTTGAGGCAAAACTGCCTTGTAGGCTAATTGTGCCCCTAGTTGGGCTTTAAAGTGTCTACAGCCAAAATGTTTTCCTTTTAGTTTCTGGTACAGTAAGGAATTGTTAAAACCTTTTTTTTCCCTTTTGTGTTCCATTAGGGAGATGTATCTTCACTTTCTGTTCTGTGGAGAGATTTTCTATCACTTCCTACTGTGTCCAAAGTAAGGAAAATCCCCTCTTAGACAGTTGTCACCAGAACAAGCTTTCCTAGTGGAAGAATATACCTCTATTTCTGTTCCAGTGGCAACTCAAAATTTTGGATTTCTCACCACTTTCCAGTAAAGATGGTCATGAGCATCAGTGTTTCTGGGTTTATATCTAGTTTACTAGTGTAGCACAGCACCTGTGACTTGCTGATCCTTTCATGGATAATATTCCCATCTCACATGTTCCTGGAAATGGTAAGTAAGCAGGTGCTGAAGCAACTACCACCTGGAAACTGGTTGCACCAAAAGTCAAAGTATATATCGCCAGCACACCATGGATCTTTGGAATAGCATCCAATTGTTTATTAGACTGATCACATCACAGTAGTAAAGATGCAAGGTTTCTGGGCCAAGGAGAATTCCTACAGGCCTGACGAAGGGGTGCAGCATGGCCCCAATATTGTTGCACCTTTACTGCTGTGCTGTGATCATTTTAATAAACAATGGGGCACTATTTCAAGATTAACGATATATGCTTTGACTTAATTCTTTTTATGTCAAAAGTTTATGACTAGAAATTAACCTACATTGAAAAAATGGGGTTGATTTACTAAAACTGGAGCATAAAAATCTGTTGCAGCTCTGCATAGAAACCACCGAACTTCCAGTTTTTAATGTCAAAGCTTAACCACTTCCCATGATGTCCTCGGGTTTCAATGGTGATATCTGGATGATAGCTGGATGATGCTTGCAGCTACAAGCATCATCCAGATATCTTTTTTTTTTTTTCTTTTTTTAGCCAGTGATTCGTTCTTGTGTAAAAGCCACCCTAGAGACTCATTAGCTGCTGGATTGCTTTTACAGGCAGTGGGAGGGGACATCCCTTCACCACCCCCATAACGATGTCACTTCCAGCTCTGGCAAATGTAAACACTGGCATTTTTTTTTCCTGGAAAGCAAAGAACGATTTTTTTTTTTTTTTTTAAATCTCATGCTTTCCAGCATAGAGATTTGGGGTCTTATAGACCCCAGATTTCACCATAAATAGGACCTGTAATGCCTTATTCTTTATTTGTAATAGGAGTAAAAGTGATAAAAAAAAAAAACATGGGAAAGTGAAAAATTACAAATTTACAGCACCTCCATCCTTTTGTGCTCGCACGCAGGTCGGGCCCGCATATGTAAACGGTGTTCATGCAACACGTGAGGTATTGTCACGATTAATATAGCAAGAGCAATAATTCTAGCACTGGACCACCTCTGTAACTCTAAACTGGTACCCTGTAAAAAATTTTAAAGCGTTGCCTATGGAGATTTTGAAGTACCGTAGACGTAGTTTGGTGCCATTTCACGAGTGTGCATAATTTTAAATTTTTTTTTTTTTTTGTATTTCAATGGTTTTTATTAATTTTAAACAGTATAAAACAGAGGCAACAAAACACGCCCACGCAGGGGCTATCAATTGCACCGATAGAAAATGCATAATAGAGCAGACAACGCTCTAATTCCAATAAGGCAAAACGTATGCCCACGTAGGGGCTATCAATGGCACATAGGTAACAATAACATCAGTGAAACTCAGATTATCGCAACTAAAGACAGCTGTCCACTGTCACATCAAAACAAACAGAAAAGGAAAGAAGAAAAGCAGAGAAGAAAGAAAGAGAAAAAAAAAAAAAAAACACACACACCAGAGAGCAAGGGTCCATGAGCGCCAATACAAAACTCCATCACCTCCCTACACTGGCCGGGGGGAGCGTGGGAAAGGCATATTGCAACCATGGCTCCCCTATTTTCAAAAATTTATGTGGAGAGTCATTGCATATACTCGACATCTGTTCATTGAGCATCATAGTAGTCATACGATCCCGCACCCCCTGAAAAAGCACAAACGGACTCTTCCAGGCCTGGGCAATTGTCCTAGTGGCCGATAAAAACAAATAGGAAGCCAACCGCTGCTGACGAGCCAAGAGGCCCGGTATGGGGCAATGAAGCAAAGCATACCGAGCATCCCGGCGTATGGAGAGATGAAACAAAGTGAAAAGGAGGCCAAACACACGAGACCAAAAACGAACCAACCTCGGGCATGACCACCAGATATGCAGTACATCGCCACGATGGCCACAACCCCGAAAACATCGATCACTACAGGCAGGGTTAGCCTGGGCCAAACGAGCCGGCACCCAATACCAACGAAACAATACCTTATAGGCTGCTTCCAGCGTGGTCGTATTAAACGAACATTTAGCTATGAGGGACCAGGCTTTATTCCAGTCCTCCGGATCCACAGCCATTCCCAGGTCGCGTTCCCACTGAACTACATATGAAAGAGAAGTGTGCGACGAGCATCTGTTCAAAGCTGCGTAAAGAAGGGAGATAAGGCCCGGGGCGCCCGGACGCTGCTGGCAAAGCCGTTCAAAGGCAGATGTCTGATATGGGAAAGCAGAAGTGGCCCTCAGCGAATAATTTTAAATTTTGACACGTTTGGTATCCATTTACTCGGTGTAACACCATCTTTTATATTTTACCAAAAATTTGGGTTACATATTGTGGGGGTTTTTTTGCCTTTAAATTCTGTGTATATATATATATATATGTATGTATGTTTGGGGGTTCTGAGTAATGTTTTTTTACATGTAGGAGAAAAAGGCCAGAATTGGAATTGCAAGTGGTTAATTGAGCAAGCTGAAGTTAGAAGCCGGTTGGCTACTATGCAGAGCTGCACCAGATTTTGCACTCTCAAGTTTTAGTAAATCAGCCCCAATATGTTGCATGTGTGACTTATCTCATAGTTGGGTTGCTGATTTCATTCTATGATAGTTATTAGCTACTAGGGAGAGAACCTATCATGTCAAAACATACCTTCAGGTAGACTTTACAGTGATGACAGGTACTCATTGGAAGACATTTTCTGATGCAATTAAGCCTGCTACTCAGTAACATCCATTGGAACAATTTTGTTTTGGCTACATATCAGGATACAGCAGTGACAATCTAACGTGTTTCGTCTGAAGCCTTTCTATGTATGAGTAGGGCATCAGCCGAAACACGTTAGATTGTCACTGCTGTATTCTGATATGTAACCAATAAAGGATTGTTCCAATGGATGTTACTACAGATTCTTTGTATCAGAGAATTATTGCTCCATTTCAAAGGCATTTGGGCCAAGTGCATCGGTTCTCAGTCTCCCAGGTACATCTGTGGTAGAGCATATTTTCTTTGTGGACTCATTGGAAGTAGGATGAGGATCCTCCTTTTTTTTTTTTTTTTTTTTTTTTTTCTTGCTTTTGTCCTGAACAGAATCTTTGACATAAACTGAAGTCACACAACCATTTGGCTTTGCATAACCACCTTTCTTATGTCTCCACAGCAGTTGGATCTCCAGTGTTGCCCGAAACCCATCGTATTCATCATTCATTCCTTCCTCTCTGCCAAGATCACACGACTTGGACTGGTGGCATGACGGCACCTGAAAACACACACACGAGACTGTTGACGGCATGTCCCTTAGCACCACATGCTGTACCAGTGGAGGCGATAGGGCTAATGGAGGCCATTCTATTCAAGGACAAACTAATGCCAGCAGTCTCATGAACCCGATAGAAGAGGCTCGCACTAAATCTGTTGTATACGATTGATAGATCTGTGTTACTCTGATGCACTTTATGTCTGACAGAAGCACAGAATGTTCATAGTTTTTTAGCAGTCTGTTTGGATGGGAAGAGCCAATGGCGTTTGTGTGATCCCAGTGCTAATCTTTATACGAAATCTTCTGTTTTGGAAAATAAAGTGTATGTATACCCAAAACTTATTCATACTTGGAGAGTGTCGGGAAGGATTAGAAGCCTTATTTTATTACTGCCTGTGTTCCCGATTGGTAGTTTATCTGCCTAAAGTGACAGGAAATCCAAAATATCACCATAACAAGAAGTGAGGATAAGGCCTGGTTCACACAATTTCAGATGTGACTAGAGTCTCACAGAATTGCATGACAATGGAAATTACATTGTTTTTAATGGTTTCTGTTCACACCAGTGTAACTCCCCGTGGAGCAATTTTGGAAAAGGTTCCTGTGCTAATTTAATGAGTTATGTATATTTTATGGGGCGAAAATCACACTGGAATCCCACCAAAGCTACCCCTCACTTTTTGGGGATTTACTCTTACTTCTTGTTGTGTCAACTGGCACAGGAAGTGAAGGGAAATCCCCCAATAGGACACAGACAGCAGAAAATAAACTGATGGGGTTTAAACCCTTCCCTACTTTATCCAACACTAAGGTCAAGTTTTGTATATATATACACTTTTAACATAGGGCCTTTAAGGACCACTATAGCCAAAACAAAAAACATACATTATATATGCATTACATAGAGGAGCTCCTAGTAACAAACGCAGCAGTCTATCTCATAGAAACATAGAAAAGTGACGGCAGAAAAAGACTGAGTGGTCCATCGAGTCTGCCCGTTTTTTTTTTTTAAATTTTCAAAGTACACCAGCCCAGACAGAGCAAAGGGAGTTGGTTTTGTCATGTTGCTGTGCAGCTGTTGCCCTATGTAAGGTGCCATGTTGGGCAAAAGAAGGCAACATAATCACAGTTGGTAGTTATATTCTATAAGATTAATGAACAGGATGTTGAAAAATAATCATCACACGGCCATCACCACACATCACCCCACGCCATCACCACCGCCATCACCACACCACCTTCATCACACGGCCATCACCACACCACCCACCATCATCACACGGCCATCACCACAACACCACCATCACACAGCCATCACCACACCGCCATCATCACACGGCCATCACCACACCGCCATCATCACACGGCCATCACCACACCGCCATCATCACACGGCCATCACCACACCGCTATCATCACACGGCCATCACCACACCACCTTCATCACACGGCCATCACCATACCACCATCACACAGCCATCACACACACACCGCCATCATCACACCCATCACCACACCCTATCATCACACGGCCATCACCACACCACCTTCATCACACGGCCATCACACCACCACACCCACCGGCCATCACCACACCACCGCCATCACACGGCCATCACCACACCACCCGCCATCACACATGGCCATCACCACACCACCACCCACCTCACACACGGCCATCACCACACCACCATCACCATACCACCATCATCACACGGCCATCACCACACCACACACAGCCATCACCACACCGCCATCATCACACGGCCATCACCACACCGCTATCATCACACGGCCATCACACCACCACCTTCATCACACGGCCATCACACCACACACACCCATCACCACACACACCACCAACACACAGCCATCACCATCACCCACACCACCACCATCACACGGCCATCACCACACCACCACCATCACACGGCCATCACCACACCACCACCACCACCATCACCACACCACCACCATCACCATCACACGGCCATCACCACACCACCACACACGGCCATCACACACGCCATCATCACACCACCTTCATCACACGGCATCACCACACCACCACCATCACACGGCCATCACCACGCGAACATCACCACCACACCACTCTGCCAGCTCCATAAGGGCTCATGTAGATGGACTTTCTGCATTTGACATGCGCTTGCAGCATGCTTAAAATACAAGTCTACAAGAAGATATATCATCATTCTACATGACCCCGTGTGACGTAGGCTGCCCATATCAATAGGACTGAGTTCTCTGGTTTTCTAAGTACCCCCTGGAACATTTTGTAGATACCAGCGTAATAACTGGATGGGAACTTCCTTTGATAGTGTGACAACACTCTTTCTTCTGCAGTGATATCTCTGTAGTGTTGTCACTCTTGCTGTAACTGCTTAAATGTTGGCACTGTTGATACCCTCTTAAGAGGACAGGCACACCTAGCTCCTCTGCCACCAGCACATTGTTATCTTCAGGAGCATAGGGAATAGATGATAAGACCCTGCTCAGTGCCCCACCCTCACCTAAGCACAACATTGAACCTGCTTCATGTTTCTGTGGATGCAGCAGGCTTTGTTGAGGGCTGTTCATGTTGCAGGCAAAGCAGATCAAACACAGTGTTATAAGGGCTAGTGTACACTATTCGGCAGATGGTGAGGGGGTGTTGTATGGCTTCCTCACTGCCTGTTTTACTCTCTAAATGCTGTACTACCACGCCATAACCACGTGCAGATGCAGTGCAGCCCCATTCATTTAAATGGGTTGAGTTTGTGGGAGGTAGTGCCCACCAAACATAACTGGGTATAATTCCTACCGCAAGGCACAGCATGTATACATTCCTGAACGGTGCCTTTGCAGCACAAGGGGGAGCAGTTCAGGAACAGCCAAAACGTGGCTCAACCCCGTGGTTTTACCACAGGCAGCAAAGGTGATCAAATATAGATCAATGTTACAATTTTGAATGCTATGTGTGTGTGTGCGTGTACAAATATTATATTAGAGAGCAATAAGCAGATGAAGAGATGGAAAAAAGTCAAGATTTCATGGCAGCTGTGATGTCTGGACAGTGGTCTTCAACTCTGCATGGGAATGAAGTATAAAAGCTGGAGGACAAGTGGACCTGTTGTCAGTTTCATATGTAAGGTGGAACCTCACTGGTTGTCACAAGTATTATTCACATTGTAACACTTAGGGCTTGGTTTTCTTCTGAATGTTCCAGTCTTATTCTGATGTTTAAATACTTCCCAGTATCCGACCAACTCTCCTGAGTATGTATGTATGTATGTATGTGTGTATGTATGTATGTATGCATGCTCTTCAATATATGTGTGTTTGACTGGATTGTACCATCAAAAGATAACTGCACTTTAGAACAAATGTCAAGGCAGAAATAGTTCAAGGGTGTACTATAAAATAGTATTTATCTTAATTGTTATTACAGGATATTGAGGAATAAAAAATACAAATTATCAGCACATATTTCCATTAGGTGCCTTTATAGTGTAGCAATGGAACATGTCATATTCGCAACTTGCAACCGGCGGGTGGAACCCTGGGCTGCTTCCCCCCTCTTTCCCAAAAGGGCCTCACATACTTGTAAATACCCTGAGATGTTAAATGAGTCGTCGTATTCTGTCCTATTCTGCTGAGCATACTGTATATGGCTTCTATGGAAGTTCAGGTAGAGTGAGACAGTAGACAGCTAGTGCTGGGCTTTCTTTCAATCGCTTTGCACAGAGCAGCCCTAATCCTCTTCTTCTGGGGTCCCCACGCCGATGCTCCTGGCCCCTCTTCTTCAGCGGGTGCCCCCATGGAAGGCCACTTTCTATGGGGCCACCCGTGCAGCTCGCACCTGAGCTGCCCTGTCTGCATCCATTGACAGCGGGTGGCTGAGCCCCACCCCCTTGGCACAGAATTTAATTGACAGCAGCAGGAGCCAATGCTTCCCACTGCTATCAGTCTGCCCAGGGAGGAGGGAGACAGTGGCAAGAGCTGATACTCTCATGCACATATCAGGATCGGATCAAGCTCAGGTAAGAAGAAGGGGACGCTGGGGGGGGATTGTGCAGCAAAAAGGTTTTTCACCTTAATTCATAGAATGCATTAGGGCAGGGCTCAAAATACCCCAGGTCGCCATGGCGACTAGAAATTGCTCCTGGGTTCACACACTGCCTCCCATAGACTTCAATGCAAAAACGCCTAAACGCCTCCCATTGCAAAAACTCCTATCAATACCAATCCTATGTGAACACTTATCTCCGGATGCCACTCTACTCTTGCGATTCTGGAACGCACCACTACAAACACACAGTACCCTTATCATAATGGCACTCAAAACAGAACGTGTGTGAATCGCATCCACGTGAATCACCTCAATAGGAACATATAATATCTAGCCTGTCATGTGAGTCTGAATATGCATCCAGAATCGTGTGAACCAGGGAAGCTCCATTCACACCTCGGAGAGAGCAGAATCGCTGTGATCAGAAAACGCAGGTTCAAGTGCCATTATTTTCAGTGGTGCCAAAAACAAGGTGCGGTTTTTCCAAATCGCATCACGTGCAGCGCGTCGCCCAAAAGTTGCCTTTGCCTCAGGTGCTGACAACGCACACTACGCTAATTTTTTTAGCTGGCTCCAAGATTAAAAGCAAATTTTTCAAGCCATGGATTAAAGTGAAAACTCCCTTAGGGCTTTAGAATCACTTTAAATGTTTATTTGTAAAATATGTATAAAGCATCAGTGTAAAAAAACATCGTTTGCTATCATAACTATAATATCGTCTTTTATAATAGACATTGTCTGGTAATGCTGCTTACCTGTACCTACAGATTTGGTGTTTTATACAATCCAGCTTCCTGGGTACTCTCGGCGTGGATAGTTGCCTGCTTGGACATGGAGTTGCTGGACACGTAAACATCTATTTTTCAGCGCACACATTGACTATTTCAGCCTTAAAAGCAGACTTCTATTTTTAATAACCCAGAAA